ACCAAACTGGAACGTTCTGGGAGCCAGTGGGGAGGAAGTTGGGAGCTGTGTGTGGTCTGGGGCGTGGTGTGGCCCCGGAGCTGCCGAGGGTGCACGGGGTGACCCGCCTCCCCCTCCCCTCCCCTCCCCTCAGGGTGTCCTGGACCGGTTTTCCCAAATCCAGCCGAAGCTCATCTTCTCCGTGGAGGCCGTGGTGTACAACGGCAAGGTGCACGGCCACCTGGACAAGCTGCAGCAGGTGGAAGGGGGAGGGGGAGGGCACAGAGACTGGCGCCCCCAGGACTCACCGAGGCCTCTGCAAGCTACACACAACTCCCTGTGGCCTAGCCAGTGTGGCTCAGCGGTTGAGCATCGATCTATGAACCAGGAGGTCAGGGTTCGATTCCCGGTCATGGCACAGGCCCGGGTTGTGGGCTCGATCCCCAGTGGGGGGTGTGCAGGAGGCAGCCGATCTGTGACTCTCTCTCATCATGGATGTTTCTCTCCCTCTCCCTTCCTCTCTGAGTCAATAAAAACATATTAAACAAGAACCCTGTGGACCCCGTGCCAGATGGGCCAGGGCCTGTCACTCGGTTTGCTCCTCCCTCAGGGCTGCCGGACCTGGAGAAGGTGGTGGTGATCCCCTACGTCGCCCCCCGGGAGGAGGTGGACGTCTCCAAGGTCCCCGGCAGGTGAGCCGGCCTCGCGGTGGGAAAGGCGTTTTCTCTGGACGCGATTGGCTGGGCGCCTGTGCATGGGGTGCGTGCGGGAGGCGGGGTGAGGGGCAAACAGGCCGGGCGCCCAGGCTCTGCACGAAGCACCTCTCACCCTCCCTCAGCAGCTCCCTGTCTAGCAGCCACAAGGTAGTGCTCAGAGCCCCTCCACGGTGGTATTTGTAGAAGCACTTTATTATTATTGTTGTTGTTGTTATTTATTTTAAAGTATTTTTATTGATTTCAGAGAGGAAGGGAGGGGAGGGAGAGAGAGAAACATCAATGAGGAGAGAAGCGCTGACCGGCTGCCTCCTGCCCGACCCCCACTGGGGATCGAGCCCGCAACCCGGGCCTGTGCCCCGACTGGGAATCGAACCCTGACCTCCCGGTTCCTGGGTCCCGCTCACCACTGAGCCTGGACGGCCGGGCTGTTGTAGCGCTTTAGGAAAGAGCCAGCCGCCCCCGTCGGCTGTTAGCAGCTAGAAATGGCCACCTGTGCCCCCGGCCGCCCCCCAGGTCCCCGAGGTTGGGAGGCGCGGCTTCTCCCCTCCCCGGCTTCCCCTCCGGAAGGAAGGGCTTGTTTCCCAGGAGCCCAGGCCCTGGCCCCGCCCGGCTGGGCCGGAGGGAGCTGGACCGGAGGGAGCGGGGGTGCATGGGGCGGAGGGAGCAGGGGTGCATGGGGC